TCTGCGGTCTGGAACTATTAAAAGTAAATTGAAGTTCGCTGAAGAATGGATTTATCTTATCAGATAATGTATGCTTATCTTCAAATTCTATTTTAATTAACGTTGCGTGCTAATTATATTTCAAATATAACATTAAAACATATTTCACTTTTTAAAGAACTTATTTATACTGCATCTGCTTTTTTCTTATGTTATCGAGTTACTTCGTTCGAGTTAAAAAAATAATTTTTTTTATATAAAATTGTTTTTATCATTCTGGTGTTTTTGTCTACACTGAAAAAAATTCTGGATCAAATTCTGGTGAAAATCCCAGCATTCAGTAAGCCAGTACTGTTTAGTCTAAAATCCATTTTTATCGAAACATGTTACAGAACGAAAAATCTGATATACCGCAATTTTTACAGTATTAATTACCGTAAAATTACTGTATCACTCCAATTAAATAAATATCTCTGTAAAAATTACGGTATAATATTTTATGGTTAAAAGGATTTTACGGATGATGCACGTAAAATGCCGAACTTTATACCGTAATTGGATCCGGGATTTTTTACAGTGTAGATAGCTTTAATCAATGCGAAGTTTTTGTAAAAAGAAATGTTTTTATCCAAGATATTGTACTAATAATTTCTTGTCAGCGATATTTATGTTGGTAGTTGTATGACACAGAATAAAGATCATGACTAAACATGAGAAAATAAAATATTTAATTCAAACGTTATTCTGAAACCCGGCTGTGTTCCATTTTGCATGCGTTTTTTTCACTTGATTTTTTAAATTTTCTCTTTTAAAGTAAAAATTATTGAGTATATCAGTATTTGTTTAATTGAAAATTAAAAATATTTATATTTTATGACTTGAATTTTAAAAAAAAACTGTTAATCTTGTTAAAAAAAATTTTGCCGAATTATTTTGCAAATTAAAGGCCTCAGTAACAGTGAATTTATACTGAGTTCAATTTTAAAAACGAATGTTAATTAGCCAATCATTTTATTTAAACTTCAAACTCAAACAATAATTTTCTTAAAAAAAAACCCTGATTTTTTTTATACTCCCTAAGATTTATATTGAAGAAAAATGATAAAATCTTCTCATTACTTTAAGGATTTGAGGCAATAAATTGACGTAAATTTATTTCTGCCAAGCTAAGAAATAAGTTGAGTTCAGTATCAGATCAAGAGGAAGTAATCAAGAGTGAATAGATTTACTGAGCGATATGCTGCCAAAAATGGGAAATACACCGTATTTCATTGTTGTATTCGTGAATTTCGTATCTTTCAGATTGTGTTGTTTCGTGAACAAGCTGTTAATAATCATGATTATTTGACCTACGTCAATCGAAAAATAAAATTGATGTAAAACTGTTTGAATAATCTAAAGATTTAATATGTTTTCCCTATTAAGTCCATGTTACAATAAGAAAAAAAAACGTTGTATAATATATTTTTCTTTGTAAATATAAGAGTCTAAAATATGTTTGCGTAGTTATCAAGGGTTAATTTTGTGTAGAAGTTTGTTAAAACTAGAAAATAAACTTTTTAACTAATTTTCACTTTTTAAATGTAGATCTAACCTCCTAAAGACTGTTACTCATTATCTTATATATAGATTTATTTCATATTATAAAATTAAATAATTGGTGTAGCATGTATATTTACATTATTTTATTTTTATCGTCACAGTCATTGTTGTATTCTTGAATTAATTTATTATCGGGAATTGTAGTTGTCATTGTTGTATTCGTGAGTTTCGTAACTTCAAGATTAGGTTGTTTTGTAAAAAAGACATTAAAAATCATGATTCAAACCAATGAAAATCATGACGCCAATCGAAAATCAAAATTAATGTAAATACTGTTGTGATAACATAACGATTTACTATGCTTTTTCCAATTAATTCCTTGTTACAATAATCAAAAAATGTTTTAATTTCATAAAAGAATATACTCTTCTTCTTGGTAAATTTAAGTAACTAATTTCTTTTCTTTTCTGCGTAGTCATAGATTATTTTTATATAAAAATTTGCTCAAACTTTAAAAAAAAACCTTTCAACAAATTATATAATTTTTCTAAATTATATCTAAACTTATAAATGCTGGTAGACTGTAAAAAATTTCGAATCTAGTTATTGTAAAAATTAATGGATGCTCGTACTTCGTACAACAAAATTTATTAATACCCGAATATTTCGCGGAGCAAAAAAATCTGGTGTGTCGCAATTTTTACAGTTATAATTGGTGTAAAATCACTGAATCACTCTAACTAAATAAATATTACTGTAAAAATTACAGTAAAATTGGATTTTACGGCAAAATAGACTTAACGATTAAATGAATTTTACGGATGATGCACCTAAAGTACTGGCACTTAATACCGTAATTTGATTTGATATGGATTTTTTTATAGTGTATTCCTTGAAATATAGATTTATTTCATGTTACAAAATTATTGTAATGGTATTATGATCATGAATTTAGTAGTCATCGTTGTATTTGTGAATTTGCATCTTCATGATTGTGGTCTTTCTTGAACAAGCTATTAATAATGAAACTTATATTCGTTTACTAATACGTGTATCAATTGGAAAACAAAGTAGTATAAAGTTGTTGTTGTGGTATAATAGTCTTATTCACATTTTCTTCAAAATAAAAAGCGAATTTTTTTAACAAATGCTAGATATCGAATATTTTATAGGCATAAAAGTATTTTAATTAAGTAAAACCAATCAACAATAATAATAATTATTATTATTTATTAAAATAAAATTCAATTTAATCATCTTATTATGAGTTAGATCATACTTAGATTAATTTCGAAGGAAAAATCCAAGGCATTGGGTAAAACAGGAAAATCTGCTATTAAAAATCCATCGACATTTATTATTATTATTATCATTAATTATAATAATTTTATATGCTACAGTGCATTAACATCTTTAAAAAAGTTCGTATTATAACACTTGAAAAAACTAGCTATTATATATTCTACTTAAATTTTTTAAGCATGTATATTGTTTTTCATTTGTTAAATAATGCATTGAGTCTATTCCCCTTATGTATTTTACATAGTGATTCTTATTAAGAAATATTATTAGTTAAATCTTCATCGAAAAATAAATTAAATTGTAGAAAACTATTATTAAAGTAAAATGTCGAATGAAAATTTTAAATTAATTGATTAGCTCCTGAAATTTGATAGTTAGAATTGAAATAAGCAATGATTTAAAAAATAATTAAAAAAGCGCATTAATAAAATATTTAAAAAATCCATTTCCATGCGCAAAATCTGAAGTTGTAAAATAATATTTTGACTGCTGAAGCCATTTTAAACTGCTTATTAGCTATCAAGCTTCTCATGACTTATTAGTGTATATAATGATATCAAAACTTTAAATGTTTTTAAAGAGTAGCGTTTTTTATTTATTTAATTTGAGATACTCAAAATTTTCGAATATCAAAGTCAGAAGAGCTCTAATGCACATGATTAGCACTGTTAAAAATAATTTGTTGTTGAAATCTATTATTTTTTAAATACTTATATTTTTCATTCATTCATTGCATTTAAGGAATTAAGAAGTCTTCATATACCAATATGCTATTATGATTCATTAAAGATCTTACTTTTACGTAATTTACAAAGAGAGAGAAATAACTAATTCTAGAGTTTTCTAGATAACTAATTCTAGTAACTTTATTCGGCATTTGAAAAAAAAAAAAAAAACAATTAGGCATAACTTTTTATTGTTGTATATTAAAGGTTATTTGATATTGATCAATATCAAATTATCACTAATAAACAACATATGCAGCTCATGATTATTTTATTTGATATTTATGAAAAAATATTTCATTTTACACCAACATAATATAAGCTACAATTTAAAAGATAAAATTACGATTCTGATTTGATTGTTTTAATAAAAATAAAATCTCGAGTTAAAAAATAAGGTTTGATACTTTCAAGTTTTTACAATTTATGACAATAGTTTACAACTTCTTAATATTAGTTGTAAAAGGTAATCTGAAATTAATTAAACAAATGAAAAATTTTGAGAAATCGAATTTTAAATAAACGACTTCTTAAAAATTCAATTTCTCAGGAATTTTTCTACCAATTACGCTCATATTTGCCATATAAAATTACATACTTTAAGATGATGTAGAAAAATTGTATACCTTATCTTAACTAGTTATCTCACCATTCGAAATTTTTTCGACTATTATTTAGTAATTAAGAAAAAATAATAAATATTTACTAGAAATATTTTTTGCATAGAGTTATCTTTGGGTAGACAAATTCTATATTTGTGTGCATATTGTTATTAATTCGCTTCAAAAGTTCTTGAGTTATGGTGAAATACGCAAAAAGTAAAATTAATATTAGGGTATTCAAACTATAGATCGTTCTCCTTACCATATTTTCCAAAGATTGTGGCTGATCCCTATATTTTGGGGGTCAAAAATCCAAATCCGTAAAAAAAAGGTATACTTATTCAGAGAAAGTACGTTTTTGTGTCTGATTTCGTAATTTAAAATATCGTCTGCACCAATTAATTAGCATTTTTAAGGTCACCCTCTCGAACCGTTAGGAATGAGTCCTAGAACGTGAAGATCTAAATATTAGATCAAAAGTTATGCAGGGTTGTCAGTTTTTTCCCTTTTTTTTACGAACTGTGCAATCAGTTATGCTTTATATGTAAAAAACAACTAGAAAAAAAACATTAATCGTTTTAAGACTGGAGAAAATAATTATCTAAACTGCTTAAAAGTTAAATTTTCTTTATTTAAAATTTGATCCATAAAATACTTTGCCGACAATTTAAAAATTCCTTAAAATAAAAATCATTTGGTTTTTACAAATTGCTGCACTAAAATAAAGTGATTTTTAAAACGTCATATTTCGTGAAAAACTCAATTTTAAGATTCTCTTACGTGCACTTTCGTTTCCTCAGCAGAGCTCACTTTGCTTCCCTGCCAATCTCTACAGTTCGACCGGCAAAATCTAGATGGCGCTAAACAGCCATTACTAAAATGGTGTGTTGCCATAGCAAGCAATAAAAAAGATGATCGCACGGACGGCGCATTTCAACTCGTTTCGTTTTGAGATCAAGCCAACGGCAGATTCCGTTAGATGCGGTTATTCTTTGAATCTATTTCCTTTCTTAGTCTTTTATCTTGCCGCTATCTCTAATTGTGATTTTGTGAATTGTCATTCTTCTGGAGGTTTACTTTTTAAGATATCGTGGCAATTATCAGCTCTTCGATCCAATTTTTCCCTTCAGATAAATTTTCCAAACCGGCTATAGATTTCACGTGGTTTTAGATTGATCGGAAATATGTGACTTTTCGTCCGCGCAAATTGATTCTCTTATCGAAAATCATTCATTTAAAATTATCAGCAAAAGTTACTATAACTTTGATTTCGTCATTCATATTTGCAAAAGAAAGGTGCCCGATATGCACTAATGGACATTGAATATGAAATCATTAAAGGCTGCTGAACTTGCAGTTAAAATGGAGTTTAAAGGTTTAGTCGAATAAAAATTCGTAAATTAAATCGAAATGATTTAATCAGGGTTCGTTAACTTTTAGCGAACTATTAAGTGCAGAAATCAAGTCATGAAACTTAACACATTTGGATTACGTTTAGACAAAGATTTTGTGACTTTGCTTTTCAAGGTGCTCGCTTGGAATACATTTGCACTAGATAATCGATAAAGGTAAGCAACCACGTTTAATTACTTAGAATTGTGTATCAAAAGTATTCGTATTATATCACTAGATAATTTAAATTAATATACATAGAGGTTTTATTTCTGCCTGGATAAATTTTTAAAATGTTGAAGTCACATTTTGGGAAAAATTATTCCGTTTATATGTTTGTGGCTTAACATTTCGATTTTCCTTTTTAGGTTCCTTTACTAAAATGCCGTGATATTAATGAATAAATAACCACATTTATGATTTTTTCTTCAACACGTTCTCTGGAAGGATACAAATAGGATAATTGGGATGCAATTCTCCAATCCAGGGGCTTTTAACCACCCACTCTCATGTTTGGCATTTTTTAAATGAAAAAAAACATGATTTTTGAATTTTTTTTTTTTTTTTTTTAGTTTAGGTAACAAATTTCAAAAGAATTAAAAATTGCAGCCAACTGCAGCCAAGAAGAAAATCTCCAAGAAAGAGAGTGAGTCGTTAAATGTCGTTGGATTATAAATAAGAAATCGGGACCACGTTTCTTTTAGAAGCAGCCCAGATTTGTCAGTTGGGTTCATACTTTGGACTAGCTTTAGCATAATTTCAGAGATCTTGAATTTTATTTTGATAGTATGGTTTTCTCATTGGGAGAAATGGTCTCCTTGACAAGGGGGTAATTTCAAATGTACCGAATCATCATTTCGTTAATTTTACTGATAAATTACCATTTTTAGCATTTACCATTTGATAATTGACTGTATATTGAAAAGAAAATGAACAGACCAAAGGTACTGAAAAATTAATATTAGAGGTAGTGCAGAAAATATAATACTATAGCTTAACTTCCTTAAAATTTTTATTTTTATTTTTGTGAAATTATAAATTTTGATTTTATTTCAGAAATAGAATTAACTAAAAACTTACAGAAACTAAAAAAAAACTTAAATAATCATTAGTTATCATTTTGTTTATAAATTTATTTTTATAAGTGAATAAATATTTGGTTAATTACATTATATGCTCTTTTATTTTTTATACGTTAGAATTGAAGCAAATGACTCGTAATTTGAACTGAATTTATTGTTTTTGCCGTTGTCTACCCACCAAACTGTGCAATAAAACGAAATATAACTCATATTTCCAGGTATTCTAATTCTAATTAATATTTTTTTGTTATTTTTTTTAAAAATTTAATTTTAATTCTATAAAATTCACCTTTTCCAGAATTATGAAAATATTTAGTGATAAAACTTTTAACCTTAGCGATGTAATGGCGATTATTTTGCAGAAGTTGATTAACTATCGTGGATAGATTGTTTTTTAACAATGGTTATATTTCTATACCAACTGGTAAACTGCAAAATAGAATCCAGCTTAAAATGATGGAACGAAATGGCCGAAAATGGTTATTTATCTTACATGATAGGCTTTTTAATCACGGCACCGCTTCACTGTATTTTTTTTTGTAATGATTTGTCTAGAATATTAGTCTTTTTTAAATTGTTGATGCAATAGGGAATTATGTACTACTTTGTGTTAAGGAAAAGGGATAATGATAACAGATTAGACACCGATATCTCATTGTGCATTAGACATTTAAGCTACGCTTCAGCTACATTGCATTTACTTTAACATGAGGTAAAGCTCATAATATTTTTTTAGTATTTCGTGTAAGAATCTTTAGCTATAAAGTGATCTTACTCGAATTATGTGAATGTTGTATACATAGTCATGGGCATCATATTATATATGTATCGAGAAACGGATGCAATGGGAATTACACTCTTTCTGATATTTATGTTTTATGTCAAGGAAGAATTAACTTTGAAAGAGAATTATAGAAAATTAGACGCCGATGTCTCACTGTGGATTGGACGTAATCATTTACACTTTAGCTGCCTTACATTAGTTCAATATTTAAAGATATAGTAATGCTCATAATAGTTTTTTTAGTATTTCGAATAATAATCTTCCGTAATAAAATGATCTTACTCTATTTATTTTAAGGTTGGATATATAGTCATGGGTATTATATGCATACTGAGAATGAGATTCAATGAGAATTATCATTTTACCGATCTTTACTTTTTGTGTTATGGAAGAGTTAGCACTGAAAGAGAATAATTGCAAATTAGATTCCGATATCTTGTTGTACATTGGAGATTCACGTTGTCGTTTAACTGCATTATATTTAGTTCTGTACTTAAAGGCATGGTAACATTAATAAACCTTTTTTTAAATTTCGAATAATAGTCTCAAATAATAAAATGATTCTCATTGCATGATTTGAATGTTTTATGTATAATCATTGGCATTATGCACATAGTGAGAATTGGATACAATGAGAATTATACTCTTTCTGATCTTTACATGTTTTTTTAAGGAAGAGTCAACTTTAAAAGAGAATTATGTAACAGATTAGACGGTGATATTTCGTTGTGCATCGGATATTTACGTTGCTTAATAGCTGCATCACATTAGTTTGTATTTATGATCATAATAACCCTCGTAATACCTTTTTTTTGTATTTTAAATAATAATCTCAAATAAAAATAACCTTACTTGAATGATTTGAATTTTGGATACATAGTCCGGGTCATTATATAGTGAGAATTAGATACAATTTGAATTATACTCTTCCTGTTCTTTACATTTTGTGTTAAGAAAGAATTAACTTTAAAAGAGAAAATAAATTCGACGCCGATACCTTGTTGTGCATCAGAGATTTACGTCGCTCTTTAGCTGCATTGCATTAGGTAAACATTTTATGATAAAAAACTACTCATAATATTTTTTAGTATTTAGAATAATAATTTCAAATAATTTTTAGTATTTAATATTTAGAATAATAATTTCAAATTATGAAATGATCTTACACGAATGGTATGAATGTTAAATGAACAGTCAGATGCATCGTATATATATAGTGAGAATTGGATGCAATAGAAATTATATGTTCATCCTGTTCTTTGCATTTTGTTTTAAGGAAGATTTAATTTTTAAAGAGAATAATAACAAATTAGACTCCTATATCTCATTGTGCATCGGAGATTTACGCTGCTCTTTAGCTGCAAAACATTAGTTCAATATTTAAAGACCTGGTAACGCTCATAGTAGTTTTTATTTTTGCATTTAGAACAATAATCTCTAATAACAAAATTATTTTACTCGCAGGATTTAAATATTGATATAGAGTCCTGAAGATTATATATATGGTGAAATTTGGATACATAGAGAATTATTCTCTTTCTGATCTTTGCATTTTGTTTTAAGGAAGAGTTAACTTTCAAAGAGAATAATTATATATTTCACGCCAATATCTCGCTGTGCATCTGAGATTTATGTTGCTCTTTAGTTGCATTACTTTAGTTCAATATTTAAAGATATAGTCATTCATAATAAGTTTTTTTTTGTATTTCGAATAATAATCTCGTATATAATCATTCATATAGTCAGTTTCGTATATAGTCAATAATATAGTCATGGGCATTATATACAGGGTGAGAATTGGCAACAATAATGAGAATTATACTCTTTGTGATTTTTACATTTTATGTTAAGAAAGAATTAACTTTAAAAGAGAATAATTATGAATTAGACGCCGATATCTCGTTTTATGTAGGAAATTTTCGTTATTCTTTTGCTTTTTACATTAGTTCATTATTTTAAGATATTGTAACGCTCATAATATTTTTTTTATTTCGAATAATAGTTTTAAGCAAATAAAATAAACTTACTCGAGCGATTTGAGTGTTGGATATATAGCCATGCACACTATTTATGCATAATGTGAATTGGATAAAATGAGAGCTTTATTCTTTCCAATAGTAACAATCCAATAGTCCAAAGTAAGCAATTAATTGCTATTTTTATTATGAAAAATATTTAGTTTCAATATAATTAATATTTAATGTGTATTATGAAATATCGGGCTTCTCTATAATGTGAAAACTGATTTTGTTCCATAGGTTCATGCCTCTATGTTTTCATCAAATCAAAGAAATAATTTGTTTCAAAACCAAAAAAAAAGAAAAAAATGAAAAACTAAAATGAGTTTAATTATCACTTGCTGTAGGATGCGAACATACTGTCTTAATTAAAACTTTCTTTCTTCAAATAATTTTCTTTTTAAAAATTGTTTTATTTAAAAAATATTTTCATAATATAACAGAAGTGCTGCAAAATTTTTGCAGATTCAATGTTATACGTATTGTGAAGAATAAGTTTTTTTTGAACATTGTTTTCAACGTATCAGAGCACGAATTTAAAAGCGGGTTATTTTCTTTAAAAGTGGGTATGTTTACCAAATGACCTTTGTGAAATGCCTTGAACTATTGCATTTAGCTTAAAAAATGCACTTGAGTCATTGCTGTTGAAAATATGAACGAGGAGTTTAGGGAAGAGCAAAATTTGTAGAAAACTTTAACAAAAAATATGTTATCACTCGAAAAAAAGCAATTAGAAGCAAACTATGAACACTAATTAGCAAAATTAAAATCAATATTAAAGAAAAAAAACTATCATAAGTCACTTTTCAGTGGATATTTATATATATCACTTATATCACTTATATATCACTTATATATATATATAATTATAATAGATATATCATTTTTCAATAGATATTTAAGAAAAAATCCAAATTATATCCTGCATCATACTAAAAAAGGGTTTGCTTCCATAAGACCTTTTTTTAAAATACACTTTCATATTTACACTAAACATTTGCTGAATACTCGATAATCAATTTGCATGCTATGCACGAAAAAAAAGGAAAAATTTGGCTCTAAAAATACTGTTGCTTATCATTGAGTTTAAAAAAAAGCTCTTGCATATTTTTAAATTTTTTTTATCTCATTATTACAATCTATTTCACTTTATTAACTTTTATTATTTTGTAACTTTTTAATAAAAATAAAATAAATAAAATATATTTTTTTATCTCATTATTACAATCTTTTTTACTTTATTAACTTTTATTATTCTGCAACTTTTTAATAAAAATAAAAGAATAATTTTT